CAAATGGGCGGAGTGCTACAGAAAAGAGGGAAATCAACAAATTTTCAAAAAATTTTTTGTTGGGAATTGTAATATTATTTTGACAAACCAACTGTTAATTCTAATGTACTACTGAGGCAACGCTGCAGAATCGAAATATAATTGGAAATCTTGAGAATTTTATTTCTAGACACGTTAATTTGATTAGGTGCTTTCAAGATATCTCTTAGAATATCATTCAGATTCGTAAATACTTTTTCTAATAATGTTCTCAGTTCATTAATTTATCGCTGATTATATAAACATGAAGTATACACGTTTAAGCCAGTAAGCCACAAGTCCTTGTTTTTGTGTTTTTTATCTTACATTACAGCATTATCACGCCCCGGATACAAGACCACTTCAATCGGTATATAACCGTTCATTAGCATTGCACTAAAAGTTGAGAAAAAAAGTGAATAGTAAAATGGCACATAAGATCCTTTAACTTAGATGATAAGTATGGTGATGTTAAAGAAAGGGCTTTGAGACTACACGGAGAACATAGCATTTCACCAAATATCGAAAAAAAATCTTTACAATGATCGTTATTATGAGATCGTTAAAGAATTCGAAAAATAGTGATTGATTGACAAGTGTCAATAAAATTTGTGATGAATTAGACTGCTTTACAAATATACAGTAAATAATATATGTAACCTAGTCAACCTTGCCTTAATGTAACCAATCCCTGGTGCTCACATATGAAGTACGTATGTATGCACGCATCAGTGTTCTTTAACATTAATATGATCTGATGAATAATATATCCGGATATCCACGAGTATCCGAATATTTAGATATACAGTGATTGAATATCCAGACATTATAAAACGCATCTATGGTGGTTTTGTACCTATTATATGCTTTTATTATGTTTTTATAAGTTTTGTATGTAGTATAAAATTCTTACGCGCCTATGGTGATTTACCGCTTATCTTAAAAAACTAATTAATTATATAGTATGCGACACTTTAAGTAAAATGCTCTACACTCCTTCCCAAACTCTAATTCTAACCCTAATACTTACCCTAATATGAAAAATTTGAGCTAAAAATTTTATATACAAAACTTTTAAAAATTATGAAACATATTATAGTGATACCATCTATTACTATCTATTAATAGATTATATTTGTAACGAATATTCAAACGGATATCCAATCAGATATCCGAACAGATATCCAAACGGATATCTAAATGGATATCCAAACAAATATCCGAACAGATATCCAAATGGATACCCAAACAGATATCCAAATGGATACCCAAACAGATATCTAAATAGTCATCCAAGCAGATATCTAAACAGATATCTAAACAGATATTTAGCTATACATAATCCAAATAATTTATTGAATAACCAGATATCTATTTATTAATCTATTTTAACTATTTATCTATTAAAATCAGATATCCAATAAATAAATAGATAAACGGTTAGTGGATAGAACCTCTAGTGATAGGTGCAAAACCATCATAAATACGTTTTATACGTAATAAGTAAATTTTAACTCGATTTTTTTCACGTCAGAGATTAGATTTAAGGTTTGGAAGGGGGTGTAGAGTATTTTTACTTAGAATCGCACCAATTAATTACTATATATATATCATAGTTTTGAGATAATGTATGCATAGGTGTAAAATACCATAGGTTCATTTTAAAAAATCAAATAATACCGGTAATAATATATATACAGTCTAATGAATTTAGCAAATCAAAATTAAGTCACTAGATTTTCGAGAACGTCATATTGATATCGTTATATATTTGTAAATTAAATCAACATATATATGGGTAATTATTTTTGAATCCGAACCAAAATGTTATTACATCATATATAATTTATATATAAAATTAGTCCGGGTTCGAAAATAATCACCCATATGATAATAAAGCGCGATTTACCGTTACGAATTTAATTTATCCAGGATATTCATTTCATATAGCCAGATGTCAAGAAAATTGAATGAATGAATATCCGGATATTTATTTTTGACCGATAGGACATCTAGATATAGCATTTTTATTGAATTTTTCTCTATCTACGCCCGCCCGACTTCATCATACATCATGTCTAACCAATCACATCACATCGATAGACTACAATGAGATGAATTATACTACGTGTGTATTTATATAACGATAATCAACTATGTAATTTATATAATGATACTGTAAATATAACACTAACTGCTTTTTAATTTATAATGATACTATGTACTTTATACAACAATGACACTACGTATATACTGTATATATATACTGTATATAGTTTATATTCTGTATATACTAGTGATGCCTGACGAAACCATGTGATGCTAATTGTCACTTGGTACAATATAAAAAATCAACAAACTATTTTTGATTTTTTATAAGTAATAGCATGTGATGATTAGCATCACATTGTTTCGTCAGGCATCACTAGTATATGCGTACTATATATATTTTTATTGTATTTATTAAATTTTTTCCATTATACAGTATATATCACTTTTATCATTCTATCTGAAACTTATTGTACAATTTATTATCGTTATGCTATATCAAATCACCCCCTTTTTTATTACCGGATTTAAACATGTAGTAATATGCATTAGAGATCAGAATATGTGTATTCTAGAGATGTTTGTAATAAAAATAAATATGCAATAAATTAATTGAACTAACCACCCATACATATTAGATTGTAGTTCAGCCAATTCTTATGAGTCAAACTTTATGCAATATCTTATCGTTGTTGATGTGATTATCTTTAAATCACTCATAATAATAAAATAATTACAGCTATTATATTTCTTTTTATACAACAAAGTATAAAAAATAGATTTTGATACTTTTTAAAAGTTAAATTATAATTAAAAAAAAAAAAAAAAAAAAAACTAGAAACTAGGAAATTGCAAAATTTCATTTTGATCTAGCTGCCCACATTACACCAACGCCGATAGCAACTCCAATGGAAAGGAAACTCCCGATTGTCACAGCTGTTGCACCTTCTGAAAGAGTAAATTGTGTTGATTGCGTTGATCGCGGTGATCGTGTTTGTTGTGTAATTGGCTGTGCGAGCTGTATTTTGCTACTTTCAGTGGCACGAGAAATATTATCTGTCAATCCACTAGATTTTACTTCGACACATAATCGAATTAATGGAGCTTTTTGACCTTTTGCAACTTCCATAGCGATAATCATATCTTCATCAGAACATAACATAATTTTATCATTTTCTTCATCGATATAGCTGATGGCTATATCAGCATTTTCGGGAATTTTCATCTTTAACCGAATTAATTTGCTTAATTTAGCGAAGTTTTGGGTATCAGACGTGAATCGATGAGACTGGTCAGATCCTTCAAGTTTACACTTATATATATATTGACCATCATCGAGCTTGCCATAATTGCTGAAAATACGGGAATCCCTCCGTGATGAGTAAAGACTTTCCGATGAAGGAGGTGTTAAAATTGTGGAATTAGGTCTTTGTTTTATTATTGGGCGTTCTATAGAATTTGTCGATAGAAAAGTTTCATTCATAGGATCTGATGAATCATCTGACTTAGGTTCTTCTGTTGTTAGTGTATTCCAAAACTTATTCCAGACTGGTCCACTCTCCACTTGTTCACCATTTAATGTTTTCAACTAAAACATTAAAAATAATTTAGATTCGTAAAACATATTAAAATAAATAGACAAATAAATGAAAGGAGTATACTAACAGTATTTAACGTGGAATAAGTAAGCTGTAAAATATCAACCATTCCAACAATGATCTTTTTACCATTGATTACAGGTAAATGTTGATAGCGTTCGTCTAAAATAGTAAAAAATATATATATTAAACAAGCAAATTATTTTAAAAATTGTATAAAAAAAAAAAAATAAAATAAAATAAATACCTTGCATTTGACGAAGGGCTTGCAGGATTGTGGTATCAGTTGTTACCATATCAGGGCAAGGAGTCATTATTCTTACGGTTGATGTGTTATTTGGCTCAACACTTTGACCATAGATTCTGTTTATAAGATGTATAAATGATTAATTTGAAATTGTATAAAAAAAAAGAGAAAAAAATGTTGCATAAAGTTTACCTAAGTACTATATCCTTTGTTGTAAAAATACCCACTGTTTTATGATTATTACTATTACTATCATCGACAACCAAGACTGCTGTTTGATGATGTTCTTTCATAATTCGTGCGGCATCTCGTACATTCGTTTTAATCGAAACTTCTGGCGGTGATCTTGAGGGATCCATAATAGAACTTAGTCGAGGAAAGCATAGATGTTGTTTTATAAGAGAAGCCATTGTTGTAAAATCAGCTTTATTCAAAGCATTTATATCTGAAACATCATCTAAAACAGCAAATAATTGTTTTGTTGAGGCGTGAGCTTTTTCAAGCCTTGCAAGAGCATGGAATAAACATTCAGTAATATCAAGAAGCCCTATGATTTCATCAGAATCATCTAGAAGTGGCTATACGATATCAAAAATAAATTAAATTAAATAAAGTAAATATATAATAAAGTAAAAACTATAATAGAAAACAATTACACACCAAATGTCTGTATCCACCTGAAACCATACGGTTTAAAGCTTCAGAAGCATTAGAGGATGTTGTAATACAATCTGGATTTTTAGTCATTATATCCGCGAGGGATGTAGCATTAGGATTAAGGCCTTCAGCACAAACCCTGAACGCCAGGTCTTTGTCAGTAACAATTCCTATCAACTTTTCTGATTCATCTACGACAAGTACTGCTGTGGCTCTATAATATTTTACAAAGCAATAAAAAAATATATTCTTTTTAAAGGAAAGAAAAAAAAGAAAAAAAGTAGGGCATTAAAAAATGGTATCAAAGTTTCAACCTGCTTACAGCCATAAAGCGTGCAGCGTCCATCACAGTGGCCGCTCCTGAAATATTAAATTATAAAATTTTAGCTTGTAACAAAATGTATATTTCTTTCATATGTTCCATAAGTTTTTTTTTTAGATTAAGAATTTTTAAAATTCAAGTCTCTAAGGAATAAACCAAGTGTTTACCTAGCAAGGTTATTGCAGGAGAAGGTCTCAAGCTTCCGACAGAGCCAGCAGTCTTTGGTATTTTATCAAGCGTTCTCTTTCCATAAAGTTTATTTGTTCTTGTAAGATCATGTTCAACTTTCTTTCTTATTCTTTCGTCCTTTTCAAGCTGTCTCTTTCTTGAAACGTCTTGGGAATTGTTAATATTTCCCGTATCAACATTTCTTGTTTCACCACTTAAGCGTTGTTGACGATTGGAAGGTACTCTTAATGACATTATTTAAAGTTTAGTATTGTTGAAAACAGAAAGGAGTGATATATATATACAGATATATATAGTAGAAGTTCAAAGAATGAATTAAAATATTAAGTCCGAAAAATGTCGTAGACAAACAAATAGTAGCGCGTGATTACACACTACTAACATCAACGAAACGTTTTTAGTTTAAGATTAACGGATGCAATGCATATATATAGTGTGCTCAAAGGGTATACTGTATATATATTTTAATATATATTTTATATATATATATAATATATATTTTAATAAAAAAATATTAAATAAATTTATACGTATGCGTTATGATAAATAATGAAATACTAAAATAAGTTTTCTATTTATAAAAAAAAATCCCACATATCTTAGTGAACTGATGGGTAGAACTTAAATAACATTGTACATCTAATAGAGACATAGATACATTCTAAAGATATTTGTAAATTATTACTTTGTTTAGTTTGATACGATGAGGTAATTATGAAACGTGGAGATTCTTATTGATTTAAGGCAAAAATCTACTATTCTTTTAAAGAAATTGAACAAATAAAAAAAACAAAGTTTTTAAATCGAGTCATCTCGCATTTCTTTTGTCTGACAAAACCACACATATTCATAAGCTACTTTAGGATTTATTTTAATTACATAGTCATTCTCTGAATATCATCCTTCGCCTTCTCAATTTCTTTATTCAAGTTACTATAACATTGCACAATTTGTTCAAACTCCCCACAAACACCCTGATATCGGGAAAGTTGTGCTTCTAATGCATCTAACTCCTGGTGATAATCTTTTTCCTCACGCATAAGATTATCCCTATATTATCATATGCAATGTAAAAATTTTTTCAATCCGTGTTTGTATAATAAAAAAAAAAAAAGAATTATACAATGGGTATATATATAGAACTCACCTTATTGACATGAGTTCTTCTAAAGTTTCTTTATCATAAATAACCATCAAGGCATCTAATCGAAGTACTCTGTTTAAATTTGTACGACATAAGCTTTACGAAATGCATTTACTAAATAATAAAGAAAATAAAATTCCAACCTCAATTTTAAACCGATATTTTTAACAAGCATTGAAAAATAGTCATTAAAAATAGTATTTTTTTGTAATTCATGGTGTAGCTTAAATTCCTCGATAATATTCCAAAGAGTAGATAAAATATCTTTCATTACCTATTATGGAATTATATTTAGGGTGAATATTAAACAAAATTACTTAAATCATATGGTAATATACTTTACATTCATATAGTTTGTTATTCGATCTCCCAATTGAATTTGATTCATAACTCTATTGAATTTTGCAAGCCGCAATTCATCAAGTTGGGAAGTTAATGTCTTATCCAATTTAGATGCCTTAGTAAATAGTTGTTTTTGTGTTTCAGATTTTGATTCTAATTTTAGAATATAATACTTGTAACATTCCACATAAATTTAGAAAAATTTAAATATACTGCAATTATTAAAAATTTTTTTTCTACCTTCTTCAGTATAATAAAATTTAGCTATATCTATGCACTGTCTTGTCAATCTGTTTTCAATACAACTTAAAACTGTTTCTCTATGTTTCTTTATGATAAAAGAAATAGATGAATATTAAATAAAGCCAAGTTCTTTGTATGTACATCCTAAAAAAATCATAAAATGACTAACATTTAATTCCCTTAAATCATTTTCAACAGCTTTATTTAATTCTTCCACAGTCAGTCCAAGCAACGAAGCATTATTATTTTCTATAGATGGATCATTCGGTTGAAAATTTAATAATTGTTTCGTTTCTGCAAAGGTTAAACAGTTTGTAACCGCTTCTAATGTCTATTTCCAATAAAAAAATTTATTAATTAAACATTGACAATATCAAATTAATAAATGATGCTGAAATCTAGGGTCTCTATAAATCCTGCTAAAACTCTTTAATTATAAATCCTAACCC